AAAAAGCAGAGTTACAGGCCACAAAGTTGTGGTTTACTTTAAGTGGTTCTCTGAGGAAAGTAAAATTGTTAAAATGAAATTGTCACTATAACATTTTTCACAATCATAACATTTTAACTTTAGAATGTCCTATTGGGCACTATTATCCTTGTCCATCCTTCCCCCTTTTAATAAAATTTAAAAAAAAAAAAACATATTAAAGGGACACTCCAGGCACCCAGACCACTTCTGCCCATTGTCCATAAACTGCAATAATTACCTTACAGGGTTAACTCCTCCTCTAGTGGCTGTCTACTAGGGGAGGTAGGGAGGAGGGATTTGCCTCAAAAATACAATTGCGTGAGTCTGTGTGTGTTTGACTGCCAGTGAGTGTATCTGTGTGTGTGTGTGTGTGTGAGTGAGTATGTGTTTCAGTGAGTGAGTGTATGTGTATGTCTGTCAGTGAGTGTATGTCTGTGTGTGTCAGTGAGTGAATGTGTGTCTGTCAGTGAGTGTCTGTGAGTGTTTGTGTCTGTCAGTGACTATGTGTCTGAAAGTGAGTGTGTGTGTGTGTCTGTGTGTGTGCTCATCTGTGCTAGTCTTATAAATTAAATTCACCAAATGCATTGAATACATAATTTATCACAGCGATAAATTATGTATTCAATGTACAATGTATGTATTAGACAGTATGTGTGTATGGATGTAGGTATTAGGCAGTATGTGTGTATAGATGTATGCATTAAGCAGTGTGTGTATGGATGTACGCATTAAGCAGCAAGTGTATATGGATGCATGTATTAGGCAGTATGTGTGTATGGATGTAGGTATTAGGCAGTGTGTGTGTGGATGCATGTAATAGGCAGTGTGTGTGTGTGTGTGTGTGTGTGCGTGTATGGATGTAGGTATTAAGCAGTGTGCGTGTGTGTGTGTATGCGTGTATGGATGCAGGTATTAAGCAGTGTGCGTGTGTGTGTGTGTGTGTGTGTATATGTATTAGGCAGACCTAACTGAAAACCATGGATTCTTGGGTTGGTTCTCCTATGAAAAATGATTTCATCCAAAAATAGCTGTCCATCCCAATTTAAAATAGGGAATGAAGGATGTAGGTTTGTGGTTGAAGCCAATGCTGCCACAGAAAAGTGTAATATCGAATAAGTTATCCACAAATGGCAGTGCTCTTAGAAAGGGGGATTGTTGGTCATATAACAAGGGCCAGTGTAAGTGGCCGAGCATGTTCAAATTTAAGCATGAATGCTAGCATTGCTGGGGTACCCACGCTAGTTTTCATTGCCTTAAGAAGTTGGCAGCCTTGGCAGCTTTACAAACAAGGGATCAATTTTCAAAAGGCCAAGACGCCAGTGAGGTTGTTAAAATGAATACCATTTCTAAGAGTGTATCCAAACAAGGAGATAGCAAAGTTGCTTGAGGACAGTTTTAGAGATGGGTTTTTATTCCACCTTTTAATAGATATGATTATTTTCACGTTAAAAATCTAGTTTCAGTTTATAGGAATATTAAGATAGTTAGATTGTATTGAACGGTCATTTCATAGTCTCCGTTTACTAATTTTCATTTATCTCCTTTGGGTTCAGTTCCTAAAAAGAAGCTCTGATGGCTAAAGTGGACATTGAGATGGCTTTTCATTCATTACCTATTCATTCCTGTGGAGTTAGTTCTTTAGGTTTTTCAAATGATCACACAAAAAATCCAACTTTCTTGGAATTATTCCTTATTGTTTTTGCTATGGATTTGTGGAGATCATTTGGCAAACAAGAGGATAATAATTAATTGTGATAATCTTTCGGTTGTGAAGGTTTATTCTTTGAATTCCAAGTCTGATTTGGTTATAAATCTATTACGAAATTTGGTTTTGTTATGTGTGAATTATTATATTTAATTGAATGCTATCCCTAGTGAGAAGTAGATGTAATTACAAATACTCTCTCCCAGATTCATTTCAGCAATTTCAGAGCTTTGGCGCAAAAGACAGAAATTAGAGGTGTGATCTTTGGGATAGATTTCGGATGATTGAAAAATTGATCTATCTTCTACAACTTAGTCTGGCTATCTGCAGCTTGTAATAAGTGACACATATATCATTTAAATCATAAGGCTGACCTGGTTGGTAGAGATGTGGTTTATGCTATGAAATCGTAATTCGGTTGATGAAAAGAGGTATCAGTAAAACTTTCATTAATACAAAACTGGCTGGTATCGCTTATTTTTCAAGGCTCCTACATAAAAAGTTAGTAGTCAAAGATTGTTTAATACATCGGTTATTAAACAGTTACAAAACACGTATTAAAGCTCAGGATAATGGGAAGCCTAGGTTATGAATTATAGAAAAGTTTGTTATACATATTGCTTTTTTTTTTTTTTTTTACGTTTGAAGTGTCTTTATTCGAGGTAGTATTTATTTTAGCATTTTTTGCTGTGTTAAAGAAGTGAATTAGTAGCAGTTAGTAGATTTAAATGTTCAGAGCTACAATAAGGTAAAATTTGTATTCCTAATGATAAATTATTATGCTGAATTAGTCAATCAAAACCGGATATTGTTGGTAATTGTAAATTGATCCAGATTTTTCTTTCGATTGTATTTGCCCAGTAAATTTAGTTCAACAATACATTTCAATGATGCCTAATTTTTAAGGCACATTTTTGGTTCATGCATCTGGTTTACCATTGCCAAGGTTTCAATTTTCTTGCATCCTTAAGCTATGTTGGAATAAATAGCATTTATCACATTTGCCAATCTCATCACCCTCTTGGAATTGGGGCAGCTCCTGAGATTGCTAATTTATGTTTTTTCCTGCAGAAGTGGTCAAGAAACTAGTGGGAGTCGGATAGTTATAAAATGTATATGCCCACAAATTTGAGGTAACTAACCTCTTTGTTTCTTCAAACCCAGCAGTAATTTGGTTAGTAGGTCATTCATTCATAAAAAAAAAAAAAAGCTCAGAAGAGAGCAAAGAAAATAAGTTACTGGCTTAATCTAGGTTTTAATGGGGAATAATGTAATATTTATTGGTGGGTGATCTTTGCCTAGCTAAGGTTATGGACAAGTATTGTTTTACATGTGGGGAGTAACAACATAGGTTGTATTAAAGGGTTACCCCCAGCCACCGTGACCACTTTAGTGATTTAAAGTTGTCATGGTGGTAGGAGTCAGCTTGAAACACTGCACATAGAGATATTGTTAATTATGGGCTGGGGTCTAGTTGCGCCCCAGCACATGTGACATTGGCAGCCCAGACCTCTATTCCGGGCTACCACTGTCAATTTTGTGCATATGTAACGTCTGTCGTCAGTGCGCACTACACAGGCAGACGTGATAATCTTCCCCTTCTTTTTTGGAGGAGTGGGGGAAATTTCCTGGCTTAGGTCGGAGTATAAACATTGGGAACCAAGCAAAACATTATACAATACGTCTTAATGCTACTTCACCATGGTGCATTTACTACACATTAACGAAGGCTGCACTGTCATTGCCAATCGCCACGGTTGCTTACATGGAGGAGCTGGGTGCAGGGAGCTATACTTATGTGAAGCTCCCCTCCATTTGTGCCATCATTTTATCCTACATCTCCATCTCCTTGCAGATCCTATGGTTCCACAATAGAGGATTTTTTGGGGGGGGGTGTATATCCCTTTAACATGCAAAATATTCTGTATACCTCTTTAAATCAGCATTTGGTAAAGCTCCAGGGGCGACAAGAAACATGTATGTGAGGCGAGACAAGACTGTGAGGGGAAGAGCCACTGAGTGACTTAAGAGTTACAGAGAGCGTTCCAAAGAGTTTATTATTTGATTTTTTTAAAATGTTTATAACTCAGTCTGAAAAATAATAAAGGGCTCACAAACCTTCGGTCTGGTATATACCTGGTGGATCCACACCGAACTCAAGGAGCTTGATCCCTCCAGGGCTCTTAAAGGGAGAGTGACACAAAATTCACACAAATGCAGTGAGTTTGACACCATAAGATTTTATCTGATAACTTTTTTTAAGTATATAGATGTTCTGCACACGATGTTCTTATATTTTTGTCTTAAAAGTTCAACACAAGGAATTATAAAAGAACGCTTTATATAAGTATCATCAAGTTTGTGTATGTAGACCTTTCCCTACATGGAACAGCTGCCCCCAACCTCCCCTCCTACATGATCACTCCGATGGGATGTGGAGCAGAGGTCCAGCATCTGATCACTAAAGAATAATCATTACAGATCCTACCCAATCTCTGCAATGAAATTGCTCCTAACCCAGCGCCCTGCAACGGCATTGCACCTACCCCGGTATTGTGTAATCAATCCAGCTACTGCCTTGCAGAGACACAAAGTCAGTGGTCAAAGCAGAGCTATTCACAACCACACTGATTATCTGCAAGTATCAGCGGTGCACTCTCAGCCAATGAGTGTGGGCCTGCATTGGCCATACTTAATTCTACAGTAACATCCAACTGCTAAATCATTTGAACATCTTACCATGGGATGGCAGCATGACACTCAATGCACCATAACCTAACCACTATCGAAGGTAGTAGTGGTTATGGTGTATATTGTATTTCTTGAAATTTTTAAAATAAATCTAAAAAGCCTGATTTCTTATGATGGAATTATTCCATGATTTGTCTTTACAGAGTTAAAATGCTTAAAAAACATACAGTCTGCTAGTTTAAAGAAAAAAAAGTATAGACGGATCACAAGAAATGCAGGGAGCACAGCTGTGGTACATCATAATCACCGACAAACATCCCACAATTCCGAAACAGAGTGGAGACACAACTCTTCAACAGAGCTTTCACTCATCAGAAATAACCTCTCTCTCTCTCGGGGCGTGGCTAACCGCCGAGCAAGATGGACGTCTAAATCTTTGCTCCGGCACGAGGGCTCCACTAAATAGCAAAATTCAACGAGCTGAAACCTCTACACTAACTAATACACCATGGCTACGTCCAAAGCAAAGAAAGCTGCACTCAAGGCAGAAAAAATGAATTTTTTTGGCCACAAATCCTCCTCCATGACGGAGACCACGCGGGCAGCAGAGCACGAGGGCGCGGATGGTATAGCACCCAACACACCGCTGACAACGCTGGATGACTCCCAGCCTATAGACTGCCTGACACGGAGCCACTTCGAGCAGGCTATGGATGCAATGGCAACAAAACTGATTTTTACATGGCAGGCGACGGCTGACCAAATTAAAAAGGAGGTGAGGGACCTATCATCCAGGACCTCTGCAGTGGAAAAGCACTATCAGGAGCTTACCTCCGCGCAAACAACAATCTTGGAGCACTTACAGGTGCTGCGCTGCAAGATGGAAAATATGGAAATGAGAATGGCGGACCACGAAGACAGGGCACGCAGGAATAACCTACGGCTCCGGGGAGTACCAGAAACAGTCCTCCCCGACGATCTGCAAGCCTATGCACGAGGCCTTATGAGGGCATACGCCCCAGACATACCTGCCGACATGCTCCTGATAGACAGGATCCACAGGGTGGCGAAGCCAAAAAACCTGCCGGATTCCATACCGCGTGACGTCCTATTTAGGGCTCACTATTTTCACATTAAAGAGCTGGTCCTCCGCTCTCACCGCAGCAGAGGAGGCACACACGTGGATTTCCCAGCAGTGCGCATCATGGCGGACATATCATCAGCCACTCTCCGCCGCAGGAAGGACTACACACAGACCACTACAGCACTCTGCAGCCACGGCATACGCTACCGGTGGGGCTTCCCCACGAAGCTGATTCTCTCCAGACAAGGGAAGACGACCGTTATTTCGTCGCCAGAGGAGGGCAAGCGCTTCTTGGAAAAATGGGGCCTACTGAAGGAGTCCTCGGAGGAGGCCCGCCTTGTCAACCGCAGCCCAGGCCGCACAACAGACATGAACTGATATACCTAGCTGGAAAAGTCAGCTAGACTCAACGCAAGTATCACTGTTTAATAACATGCGCTCCCTTACGACCAAGTTATTACTTATCTATGTATACATATTGACTAAATGCCACCCCTATAGAAAGTCTCCCATGCTGATGTGTCTATTCCAGTAATTCACCACCCCCCACGGGAACCCACCTAGGGGCGACACTCTGTGCGGGGATAAGCGCTGCACGGGTGCTGTGGGTTGTTATATATTCCAGACGCTGGAATTAACTTTTCTAATGAAGCTGTAAAGTATGCAGCTTAACTTTTGTATTTTTTTCCCCCATCTCAGACTTTAAAAGCCTGTAGAGTTACAGAGATTAGTATTTGTCTGTAGTTTCAATTGCATAGTTAACAGCAGACTTGTCAGGCTTCTCATAGTGGAGATCTGTAGCAGCAACAGCATGTGTCTATCCCCCTATATCCAATATTATAACTAGTGCCTTTGAACATAAAGAACGAGGGGCACATAGCATACAATGGAGGGGATACTGTATCGGGAAACCCTGGGACAGGCACATGTCCGCCTTAACGGCACTTCAAGGCATCCATCCCCACGACCAACATGCCAACCTTATAAATAAAAATAGCAGGGATCGAGTGGAAGGTTCAGCGACCCATAGGGCCGACTAACCAAACTCTGTTTCGCCAAACCCCACCTTGATGGCACGCATAAGCTCCGCGCCACACTACCACACTGGGCCCTCGGCCAATGAAGGTTTGACATGCCCCGTGCCACTCTAAAATACCTGCAAGCTAGCAAATACATAGGTGCACAACGGCAAACATAAACTTGCTGGACCCCTCCACATATGCTCCCCTGCTATGATGTATGTTCCCATCTAGGAAAACCCAAACCCAGGGCAACACACCAAGCGAACTCCAATGGCCCTGCGGGGATAGAGCAGCCCCCCCTTTCAAACTAACGGTACGAACATAGGTAAACCCGGGGGGAACGGGCATAGACGCAATAAGCACTGGAGTGTGACTTACAGGGCCCTACTTGGTTTAAAATGTCAAATGACACATTGTTACTTGCTTGCCTCCTTGCTGATATTAATTACTGTTATACTTTACTGTTTATATGTTATAATGTTTAACACCTCATTGCACATGGTTTCAGCTCCATCCCAATACACAAATAGGAGCCCACCAGCCACGTACTTGGAAGCACCAGCTCCTCAACCCCACGGCGCGACTAGCGTGCCAGACCACAAGGTCCTTGTACATAGTACCACCCCTCTACAACACCTCACCCCAATCACACAACCTTGCCCTCCCCCCTCCCCCCCATATAGTGACACATAGAAGAGCCAATTCACGCCGCAAAGCTATATATCACCCTCTCCACACACTGCATTAAGTACAAACGAACATGATCATTTACTCACACAATACTAAGGGCCTCAACACGCCACATAAACGCCGAATGCTACTAGACGACATAAAACGCACCAAAGCAGACATAGTCTGCATACAAGAAACGCACTTCGTAACCAATAGGGTTCCTCAATTTGCCAATAGGGACTACCCAACACAGTTTCACGCAACCCATACGTCCAAATCTAGAGGAGTTTCGATATTACTCCACAACTCCCTAACTGTAGAAACCCTACGGATCAAAAAAGATACCCAAGGAAGATATATCATTTTGCAATGCAGAATCAATGACCACCCATACATCATAGTATGCCTTTATAGCCCGAACGACCACCAACGAAACTTCCTACACAAAGTCCTCAACAAACTGCCAGACGACGCAAATTTCGCCAAGATCCTGTGCGGAGACTACAATCACACTATGGATACTCGTATGGACTCGACATCCCCAAGCGCCTCATCCAAACATCTCAAGTTAGGCCCTCACAATAAAGCATTCGCGAAACTTATCCATGAAAATAGTCTATACGACGTATGGAGGACGACACACCCATCAGACAGGTCCTACACCTTCTTCTCACAAGCACACAAAACGTATTCTAGAATCGACCACATACTAGCCTCGGGTACTTTGCTCCCACGCGTAGAGGACTGCACCATAGGTAGCATAGTGTGGTCGGATCATGCCCCACTGATGATGACATTAAACTCTAATTACCTGCATCGAGGCAAACCACCATGGCGCCTCAATGACTCCCTCCTCCATGACAAGACATTCACGACTTCACTGGCGACAGAATTGGAAAACTTCTTTAAGACAAATGACAATTTGGAAGCCTCTATCTTCTCCATATGGCAGGCCCACAAAACGGTCATAAGGGGTCACCTTATCAGTCGAGCATCGTACCTTAAACGCAAGCGAGAGAAAGAGTACATGGATCTCCTTCGAAAGCTGAGAGATACCACATCTGCTCATCTACTGAACCCAACGGATACACAAGAAAAAGAAATAAAGGACACCACCATTCAAATCAATGCACTGTCCTTTCAAAAAACAACCCACATTTTGACAAAACTGAAACTCAGAATGTATACCCAGGGCAACAGAGCAGGGAAACTCCTGGCTAATATGCTTAAAAAACAACAGACGAACTCTAAAATCCCTCATCTGATTACAGCCACAGGCGAAAAGATACATAACCCACAAGACATTAACGACAGTATGGCCGACTATTACCACTCCCTATACAACCTCAACACAGACCCTAACCTGCACCAACCAACCCCTAGAGAAATTAATGACTTCCTCCAAACGATGGAACTCCCAACACTTTCCACCACCCAAAAAGCCGCGATACAACACCAGATCACTGAACAAGAAATCATAGATACTATCAAATCTCTGCCACCAGGGAAATCACCAGGCCCAGACGGTATGACAAATGCTTACTACAAACAATTCGCACCAATCTTAGCACCTTACTTACAAAGGGTATACCACCAAGCCATACAAACAGGACAACTCCCAAGGGAGATGCTGACGGCCCACGTAGCCACTCTTCCTAAACCAGGGAAACCCCCGAATAGGTGCCAAAACCTCCGCCCCATCTCCCTACTAAATACGGATATAAAAATTATAGCAAAAATCTTCTCTAATAGACTAGCGCAAATTATACCCTCCCTGATACAGGAGGACCAGGTAGGATTTGTCGGAGGCAGGCAGGGGGCAGACGGCACTAGGAAAACTCTAGACCTACTTTATGAAATACAGGAGAGCAAAAACCCTAGTGTCCTTCTATCCCTAGACGCAGAAAAGGCCTTCGATAGGCTTCACTGGCCTTTTCTGAGGGCAGTACTCCAGAAATTTGAATTCCCCCCGCAGTTCTTAGCACTCGTTCAAGCACTATACTCCTCACCGTCTGCCAGGGTGGTCAATGGGGGATTCATCTCAAAACCTTTCCAAATATCCAACGGCTCTAGACAGGGCTGCCCACTCTCCCCATTACTCTATATACTAACGCTCGAACCCCTTACCCAACTAATACGAAACGACCCGAACATACACGGGATTAAGACCAATAGCCGGGAATACAAAATGTCATTATTTGCGGATGATATCCTGCTTACGCTGGAACAACCTCACATATCCCTGCCCAACTTTCACAAAATCCTATCCTACTTTAGCGCATGCTCATACTACAAACTAAACATCTCCAAAACCTTAGCCCTGGGCATCCACATCCCGAAATCAGACATGTCCAACCTCAAGACGCACTTTAAGTATGACTGGAGACATGACCATATTAAATTCCTAGGAGTCCACTTCACCCCCTCACCCAACACACTACACCAAACTACACGCGGAAATTAAAGCTCTACTGCACAGTTGGAAGGGGAAATACATATCCTGGACGGGCAGAATAGCCTCAGTGAAAATGGTGATCCTGCCAAAAATCCAATATTTATTCCGCACACTCCCACTTAAGCTCACTAAACACTACCTCATGGAACTGCAACGCAGTATAAACGAATACATATGGGACTACAAAAAACCAAGAGTGGCCTCAACCACGATGTACAAACCCCATGACCAGGGCGGAATGGGCTTGCCGGAAGTAGAGAAATACTACAGAGCCGCCCACATAGCCCCACTCATCGCAGCATCGCACCGCCAGACCCCCCTGGCATGGGAAGAACTAGAGAAGAGCCGCGCCAGGGGAATCTCCCTCCCAGCCCTGGCGTGGCTGCCGACAAGCCTCCGACCCAAAACATCAGAACTACTGCCAACCACCAATCTAACCCTCTCTGTATGGGATAACTACCACCGTAAAAGAGGTACGACAACATCCTTCTCACCAGCAACCCCGATGGAAGCACTACGACAATTTATCCCAGACTTCAATTACAAACTCTGGCAGAGGCACGGAATAAACACACTATCGCAAATACTGCAGGGAGATCGCCTCAAGCCCCTTACAGATATCTGCACAGAATACAAACTAACCAAGACAGCGACTTTCTCCTATATTCAATTGCAATCATGGATAAAACTCAATAAATCGCAACAAACAACGGCCGAACCTGATCCACATTGGCTCAGACTGCTACAAATATGCACCAAAGTCAAGCCAGCAAAGAAACTCATCTCAAGAATTTACGCCTCTGCGAACTCAGGCACCCAAGCATCTCCGCCCTCCTTCCAAATGGCATGGGAACGAGATATAGGACACGAGCTCACGAGTGACCAATGGCATACCATTTTCCATGCCAACAAACAACTTACTCTATGCACATCACACATGGAAACCTCCCGCAAACTATTATACAGATGGTACTTAGTCCCAACAAGACTCAAACACAGCTACCCGAACACTTCAGACAAATGTTGGAGGTGCCTAAGGGACCGAGGCACCTTAATGCACATATGGTGGCAGTGCCCGTTACTGCAAAACTACTGGTCACAAGTCATAGACCTAATAAAGAGATGTACAGATCTACATATCCCCCCCTTACCGGAAGTATTCCTGCTATTACTACTTCCCCCAACACAGCACATGCACACTAAATACCTACTATACCACATATGTATAG